TACTTCCACGAGCTCAGGATCGACGAGGAGCTGTCGCAGTACTTCGCCTTGCCCCCAGTTCGTGCCTCAGCAGTGGGTGTGGACAGCATCAGCGGCGTCAAGGTGGGCCCCAACGAGCTCATCTACCCGGCGCTCCAGACGCTGCCCATGGGGTTCTCTTGGGCGATGTGGGCTGCCCAGCTGGTTCACGAGGAGCTACTGCAGCGAGCGGGCCTGCCTCCCGCTCGTCTACTGCGCGATGGCACTCCTCCTCCCCCTCTTGGAGATGGGCCCGTTCACCCGGCATACGTCGACAACTTCGGGGTTATCGGCTGTGACAAGGCCGAGGTCGAGACACTGCATCGTAAGGCCCTCGAAGGAGTTCGACAGGCTGGCTTCCACGTTCACGAGATCGAGCAAGTCAGCACCTCCTTGGACATCGCGGGCGTGCACTTGGATGGCGAGAAGCAGGTGGTCACCTTGTCGGCGGCCAGAGCGTGGCGGCTCTATGCAGGACTTCATGCGCTTGTACGACGCGGACGCTGCACGGGGCGGGAGATGCGCGCCATCCTGGGCCACCTCTGCTTCGCCTTCTTGCTTCGGATGCCCTGCCTTTCTTGCATCGCCGCGTCCTTTGCCTTCGCCGAGTCGGCTGGGGACGAAGCCAAGAACATCTGGCCGAGCGTCAAGAGGGAACTCCTCATCGCCGCTGCCATCCTGCCCTTGGTCTACGCGGACCTCAGCGCGGGCTGGCTCGACCAGGTGGTGGCTACTGATGCTAGTCAGACTGGGCTTCGCGTTTGCGTCGCCGAGTGGCCGGATGATGCTGCGCGACGGGCTGGCTGCCACGACGAGCGATGGAGGTTCAAGAAGGATCCACATCGCAAGCACCGCGAGGTCGCCTGGGCTGGCTACGACATGGCCGAGCCGCCGATCGACGGGGGCGGCAACCTTATCCCTGGCAGCGAGGAGGGCGTTTGGCTGGCCAACAAGGGCTTCCCCGACATCGAGCCCGCCTCCGTCACTGAGGCCAAGTGGGCAGTGGTCGCCAAGCGTCCTTGTGGCAGCCACGAGGGAGCCATCCATGTCAAGGAGGCTAGGGGTGTCAAGCTGGGCCTCAAGCACGTGGTGCGCTGCGGCCGCTGGCGGCACAGCAAAGTGCTCATGCTGGTTGACAACGTGGGGCTCGTGCTGGCTCTTCAGAAAGGCCGCTGCCGAGACCCAGCCCTACTTTGTCAGCTTCGTCAGATGGCAGCCCTGCAGCTCGCCACTGGGCTTCGTGCCCAATGCCGCTGGATCCCGTCCGAGGTCAATCCTGCCGATCGGCCTCCGCGACAGTGGGGGCCAGCGCTGGCGAGTACTGGCGCTGCATGGCGTCCTCCTCCTGGGCTTGTTCATCCTGATGCCTGGGGTTGTCACGAGGGCGCCGCCGGCGAGGGGGCGAACGACCTCGGGGGCGGTGGCTCGCAATGTGGCGCGCAGGCTCGAGGTTGCGCCAGCGCTGCAGCTAGGCCACCAGGAACTTCGACGACGCGACCCACTGCCTTGGAGGACGCAGGATCAGGACCATCCGAGCTGCCGATCCTGCCCAGGCCCCAGGCGACGCCAGCCGGGCGTCGAGGCGGCTCGCGGAGATCGCGGGTCGCAACCTCGACAAGGCAGGTTGCCGCCAAATGCTCGGCCAGCAGCGGAGGCCTGTCCTACCTCGAGAGCATCGCGGTCAGGCCTGTGCAGATCGAGGACTACCACAGGCGCATCGAGGAGTTCTTCACGTTCGTCCGCCGACAGGGCTTCAAGACCGACACCCTGGACTCCTTGGAGGAGGCCCTCCTGGACTGGGCGGACCGACCCTACCTGGATGGCAGGAAGAAGCACGACGGCGAGAAGCTGAAGGCGGCCGTCCTGCACTACTACCCGAACCTCAAGCGGCCCAACACCAAGCCGCTGGCCAGGTTCGAGAGGTCCTTGAAGGCGCGGGGCCGCCGGCGACCAGCTCTGGGCCGCCTGCCGCCGCCATGCCCGACCATCTGCGGGGTGGCTGTGGCCATCCACCTTCTCGGCCACACGGACATGGCAGTGGCCGTGCTGGTCGCGCTCGGCGCCTACTTGCGGCCAGGAGAGTTGTGTGGGCCCCGCGTTCGAGACGTCGTCCCTCCCGCCCTTGGCTTCGGACCAGAATGCCAGAGGTGGTCGCTCATCCTGGGGCCTTCGGACGACAACGGAGACCCGACCAAGACAGGCGTGCACGACGACAACGTGACCTTGGACCACGACAACCTGCACTTCATCGGCGACTTTTTCGAGCGTTATCGCAGAGGGAAGCAACCGAAGGACCCGTTGTGGCATCATGATCGCGAAGGCCGTGAAGGTCTGCCGCCTCGAGAGCATAGGGATCGTGCCCTACAGCCTGCGCCGCGCTGGCCCGTCTTGGGACGTGATCACAGGACGAAGATCGCAGCTGGAGGTTCAGCGTCGAGGTCGCTGGGCCAGCACCAGCTCACTCATCAGGTACGAGAAGTCCAGCAAGGTCAACTCGCAGCTAGTGCAGCTCAGCGACGACGTCCAGGAGTACCTCAGGCGCTGCAGCTCGCACCTTGGCGACATCTTCCTCGGCTTGGTGTCCGCTCCCCTGCCGCTTGGTTGGAGCGCGGCGACATCTTCATCGATGTGTTCGCCGGCACCGAAGGCATCGGCAAGGCCGTGGCAAGGTGTGGCATCTCGTCGCTAGAGATTGAACTGAGCTCAGGTACGGATATCTTTGCGCCAGGTGTGACAGCTGCGATTCTGAAGTTAATGAGCTCGGGCAGGGTGCAAGGAATCTTGTTGGCTACGCCATGCCGCTCGTTCAGTATCGCCAGAAGAGCGCCCAGATCCTCTCCCCTGCCCTGTGCTGTGAGATCTCCTGAACATATCTGGGGCTTCGCGGACCTCTCCGATCTAGACAAGAATGTGTGTCTTGAAGGCAACCGGCTCGCAAAAGTAACATGCAAACTCGTTCGGCAGGCCCTTCGATACCACATCCCGTTCATGATCGAAAACCCCGCCTCCTCCATGCTCTGGGACATTCCGTTTCTGAATCACCTGAGCAACTCGAAGTTTGCGAAAGTCATCGTTTTTGACCAGTGCCAGTTCGGAACCGACTTCAGAAAGCGCACCTCCATCCTCTTGTCCTCAGAGTGCGACGCGTCGTTCCTTGAGCACAAGTGCACTGGCAAGGCTGGTGTATGCTCGCGCTCAGGCAGGCCTCATGTACACCTTGAAGGAAAGGAGAGTGCTGGCTGGAAGACAGATCGTGCAAAACATTACCCGTCGCCTTTGTGCTCCGCGGTGGCCAACACTTTCAGATCTTGTGGGCTCGACAGTATGTGGCCAAATGTTTCGACCTATCTAACTCCCGGCCAAGAAGATTTGCTTCTCCCTCCGGAACCCGCCCGAAGCCAAAACATCCATGAGATTCGGAACCTCTCTCGGTGGAGCACGGGACAGCACCGTTTCAATCGATTTCAGTGTGGCATCTGGTGGCAAGCTTCGCAATGCATCGCTCTGGGATGTCATTCTATTGGCCGAGGTAAGGCATCATGAGAGTGCGTGCACAGTAATGATGTCAGAGAGGCCTTTCAGTGAAGACGAGTAGGGAGAAGGTAGCAGTAGCATCAGCGTGCCTCGCCCGTTGCCCGCCTCGCAGCCTTTCGTTGTTCCCATCCCAACCCTCCCTGGGACAGCACCGTTTCAATCGATTTCAGCGTGGCATATGGTGGCAAGCTTCGCAATGCATCGCGTTGGGATATCATTCTATTGGCCGAGGTAAAGCATCATGATGATGATGATGAGATGATGATGATGATGGTGTCCCGATGAAGATGATGATGATGTTGGTGATGGTGTCGATGATGATGACAGTGTCCCGATGATGAGGATGATGATGCTCATGATGATTATGGTGATGATGATGACGATGATGGTGTCCCGATGATGATGATGACGATGATGACGATTATGATTCCTATGATGTTGGTGATGATGAAATTGATGGAAATGGTGTCCCGGCGATGATGTTGCTGATGATGATGATGGTGATGATGATGATGGTGATGCTGATGGTGTCCCGGTGATGATGATACTGATAATGACGATGTTGATGGTGATGTTGCTCATGATGCTGATGGTGTCCCAATGATGATGATGTTGATGATGATGATGTCGATGATGATGATGCGATGATCATGATGATGGTGTCCCGAGGATGATGACGATGTTGATGATAATGTGATGAGAACGATGGTGATCATGATGGTGTCCCGATTATGGTGATGATTATGATGATGCTGCTGATGATGGTGATGACGATGACTGTGTCCCGATGATGATGATGATGTTGATGATGATATGATGTTGGCGAGGATGATGATGATGTTGTCCCGATGACGATGCGGACGTTGATGATGATATTTATGATGATGATGATGATGACGGTGCCCTCATGATGATGACGATGTTGGTGATGACGTTGACGTTGATGATGTTGATGATGTTGATGATGATGATGATGATGATGATGATGATGACGTTGATTGTGAGAGCGATTGTGATATCGATAGTGATATCGATATTGAGACCGAATGCGAGATCCATTGTGTGATCGATTGTGAGATCGATTGTGAGATCAATTGTGAGATCGATCGAATTGGATAGATCGAATGAGATCGATTGTGAAATCGATCGAGTGAGATCGATCGAGCGAGACCGATAGTGATATCGATACTGAGATCGATAGTCAGACCGATCGAGTGAGACGTTGGTTCCCCCCCCCGAACCTCCTTATCACCCGAAGGGTGGTCGTATAGGTACGGCTATAGGGCTATAGGGTTATAGTGCTATAGGGATATATGGCGATTGGGCTATTGGGCTATAGGGATATAGGGCTATTGGGCTAGGCACCCCGGTGCACTTCTGGGCACCCCGGGCACCCGGGCACCCCTGGGCACGCGGGCACCCCCCGGCACCCCCGGGCACCCAGGCACCCGGCCCCGGCCACCGAAATCGGCCACACACCTGGGCACCCGGGCACCCCCGGGAACCCCCGGGCACCCGGGCACCCGGCCCCGGCCACCGAAATCGGCCGCTCACCTCACATCAGCTTTATATCCGCTAAGACCCCTACAGAGGCAAGCTCTGATTGGGGAATATTCTGCACCCACTGTCGCGCCGCAGGCCCCAGAAGTGGGTCTAGCAGCGAACTTCCCATGTTGCCGGTGCGGCCTCGCATGGGCGACGGAAAAGGCTTATCTTGCGCACTGCCGCAAGTCCACAATGAAACAGCGCCAATTAAACATTATATTGACGATAGCGGTGTCTGCCCTGAATGTCTCACAGATTTCAAAGAACGATTCCACGTTGTCCGCCACCTCACGGACAAGAGGCGGCCGAAGTGCCGCCATGCTGTCTTCCAGAAGTGCCCAAGACTGCCAACAGCAGATGTGCAGATGTGGGAGGCGCGGGACTGTGAGCGTAAGCGGTGTGCCCGGCAGCAGGGCTCCACACAAATAATTGCGACGGGCTCTGCCATTACAGCCGAAGGCAAGCGAGTGGGCCATGTCCAAAAGTGACGCGCCCCTGTGCCATTAAGCATACACATCACAGCTTGAGACACCTCCGGGTACCCTGACCGCAGAAATTATCCCGGCAAAGCAACCTAACAGCGATGTGTAGGAGCATATCTGGAAGCATTCCCCTTAAGATTCAAATGAGAACCCAGTTGTAGAATTCTGCTGTTCTCGCAGTCGTAGTCGCATTCGCGATGACAGTCGCAGCGGCAACGGCAGTCGCAGTCACAGCCTCAGCCTCAGCCTGCCTCAGCCTCAGCCTCAGCCTGCCTCAGCCTCAGCCTCAGCCCTCAGCCTCAGCCTCAGTCTGCCTTCAGCCTCGCCTCAGCCTCAGCCTCAGCCTGCATCAGCCTCAGCCTCAGCCTCAGCCTGCCTCAGCTCAGCCTGCCTCAGCCTCAGCCTCAGCCTCAGCCTCAGCCTCAGCCTCAGCCTCCTCAGCCTCAGCCTCAGCCTCAGCCTCAGCCTGCCTCAGCATCAGCCTGCCTCAGCCTCAGCCTCAGCCTGCCTCAGCCTCAGCCTCAGCCTGCTTCAGCCTCAGCCTCAGTCTGCCTTCAGCCTCGGCCTCAGCCTCAGCCTGCCTCAGCCTCAGCCTCAGCCTCAGCCTCAGCCTCAGCCTGCCTCAGCCTCAGCCTCAGCCTGCCTCAGCCTCAGCCTCAGCCTGCTTCAGCCTCAGCCTCAGTCTGCCTTCAGCCTCGGCCTCAGCCTCAGCCTGCCTCAGCCTCAGCCTGCATCAGCCTCAGCCTCAGCCTCAGCCTGCCTCAGCATCAGCCTGCCTCAGCCTCAGCCTCAGCCTGCCTCAGCCTCAGCCTCAGCCTGCTTCAGCCTCAGCCTCAGTCTGCCTTCAGCCTCGGCCTCAGCCTCAGCCTGCCTCAGCCTCAGCCTGCATCAGCCTCAGCCTCAGCCTCAGCCTGCCTCAGCATCAGCCTGCCTCAGCCTCAGCCTCAGCCTGCCTCAGCCTCAGCCTCAGCCTGCTTCAGCCTCAGCCTCAGTCTGCCTTCAGCCTCGGCCTCAGCCTCAGCCTGCCTCAGCCTCAGCCTGCATCAGCCTCAGCCTCAGCCTCAGCCTGCCTCAGCATCAGCCTGCCTCAGCCTCAGCCTCAGCCTGCCTCAGCCTCAGCCTCAGCCTCAGCCTGCTTCAGCCTCAGCCTCAGTCTGCCTTCAGCCTCAGGCCTCAGCCTCAGCCTGCCTCAGCCTCAGCCTCAGCCTCAGCCTCAGCCTCAGCCTCAGCCTCAGCCTCAGCCTGCTTCAGC